TTGAGGTTTTGGGATGTGGCACCCAGCAAAGGACCGCTCATACCATGTCATGCCCATCATGGTGTCCCTAGGCCACGTCTCACCACCAGGGTGGCCCGACCATGGTGGCAGGGTCACGGCGCAGACCCTCGCGGTGACGCTGCCATGGGCCCACTCATTGTCCGGCGCTTCCTCCCCCCAGCGTGGCGGCCGCGCGGCCGGCAGCATCGGGAGGAAGATAAACAGCTGCTTATCTGGGCGCCACAGGCTGTGTCCCTCTTCCCTTCCACTCCTGCCCTGACAGCGCTGGGCACGGCACTGCTGGGCAGAGGACAGGGCAGCTCGTCACACCTCCTGTAGCATCCTGCCGGGAGGTCAGGCAGGGCCAGGGGCCACGGCTGGGCTCACCCCTGGCACGGGGCAGGGATGCCAGTGGAGGGGGATGCGGGGCAGTGGTGCCAGTCGGGCACTGTCTGTCCCTGGGGAAGGCAGCGGGCTCCAGCATTATGTCAGGATCAGATAAGGGGGCTCAGCTGGGCCGCCGGGGCGATCAGATAAGGGCACTGTTATTTTTGTACTCCAGGAAAGGGAAAAAAAAAATTTATAAGAAAGAAAGAAAGAAAATCCACTCTATGTTTTTCCAGCCGCCTGCCCTCTCCCTTGCTTCGGCGCAGCTGAGACCAGGCAGCAGGAATGGTCCCACTGTGGCTCCCCCGGAGCTGGGGGCACAATTCCTGGGTTTTTGGTAGATGAAAGGTTCTGGGCAGAGAGCAATACTGGGGTGTGGGGTGCAGGGCAGGGGTGGACCTGGTGGCGCAGGATGCCCATGGGATAGGCAGCGCCACTTTGGCATTTCTGCATCCGGCTGCGTCGCCTCGGCACTTGTGTAACGGTCTGACCCAGGTGACCCCATCAGGAATGGGGATGGACCCTGCACTGCAAACTTGAGTTGTCATCCTCTGAGCCGCTGCTGGCTGTTGGACCATACAGAGGTGGCATCAGGGCTCAGGGGTGGATGGGACCAGGCTTCGGGTCAAGCCACATCATTCCTGCCACTCTAAGTCAGCTGGGTGCCGAGAAGCCTCTCCCCAGGGGTGGGAAGGGATGACTCAGCACCGTGCTCACTCCATGGGGAGCAGTGCTGGTCCCTGCTGAAGGGCACAAAGTCCCCCACCTCTGGAAGCCTGCTGTGTCTGTGCCCACAGCACTGCACCCACTGTGGGCACCCCAGTCCCATGGCACAGGTCCACTGTGGGCACTCCCAGCACCATGGATCCCTGTGAGGGAGAGGCAGCAACTGGACAGGATGTGGTGAGTGGCACAGGTAGGCAGGACAGGGACAATGTCAGAGCTACGCAGGACACGGACCACATAGCACAGCTACATAGGACAGGGACAATATGGCACAATCACATAGAATGGGGTCCATATAGCACATCTGCATAGGTTAGAGATGGTATGGCCATAGGAGATGGTCTATACGGCAGAGTGACACAGGACAGGCACAGATACATATGACAGGGACGATATAGCTCCATTACATAGGACAGAGACTGTACGGCACAGCTATGTCAGCTGGGGACCATATAGCACAGTCAGGACAAGGACTGCACCACTCAGCTATGTGGGACAGGGATAGTGTACAATAGTTGTGTAGGATAGGGACTGTACGGCACAGCTACATAGGATGGGGATCATACAGCACAGCTAAACAGGACAGGGACCATAGGGACAGACACTCAGGATGGGGACCATATGGACTCAGCCTACATAGCACAGACGTGCTAGGGCATGTATGGCACAGGCATATAGGATGGAGACTGCAGGGTACAAATATAAAGGACATGGACTGTATGGCACAGAGATGACATTGGCAGCTGTGTAGGATGGGGACCAGACAGCACAGCTATGTGCTATAGGGACTACACATCATAGACAGTGAAGACAAGACCTCTGTGG